TACTATTTTTTTAAAAATGTTTTGTGTAATTCAATTTTACTTGACATAATTTTGTAATATAACTGTTAAATAACTAATATTAGATAAAAATTATAAAATCTCAAGCTAAAATGTTAAGAGATTAAAAATAAGGCAATGAATTGTTAACAATAAGATTAAAATACGAGAAATTATTAAATTAAGAAAAATGTAATGGTGCAGAAGTTGTGATTTATTAGAATAAAATTTAATATTAAAACCTTAGTGATAAAGTTCATATATGTTTCCCTGTGTCAATATAAATAAATTTAAGATGAAATTAATCAACTGGAAAAATAAAAAAAATAAAATTAACAAAAGAAAAGTGTAACCTGCACCCATAATAGCAAAAGAAGAAATAAGAAAAATACGGCTATTAAAACAGAAGTAAAAAAAACAAAAACAAAAACAAAAGAGTGAAAAAGATATACGAAATAAAAGGAAAAAGAGAGTTGACAAAAGGTAGGAAATAATTTTAACTATTTCAAACCATGATACAGCTGTTAGTGGATAATAGATAAGATTGTATATAAATTACAAAATTTAAGTAAAATAGAAATTAATGTCCTTGATTTATTAATGAATTGTTTTTACAATTAAAGTTTGTCTTTTAAAGTAATGATTTTTATCATGAGTATAAAAATAAAAAGTCTTGTGGACATTAGTTGAAAAATAAAAAAATTCTTCTATTAAAAACATGTCAGAATGCATAAAAAATCACAGAAAGAGAAATATCTATAATATTTTTTAATAAAAAATTTTCATTTTTAATTTTTTAATCAGCATCCTTAAAACCCTTCCTTTGGATGCTTTATTAGCATTTGCCTATCTCAAATTACTCTTTTTGATCATAGGACTTATCATGAATATTTCTTACGATTATGTTTGCATTGTATGGATGGAAACTTGCTGAAACCAAAGAATTAATTTGATGTAATGACTCACCAACTTTCAATAAATCTAACTATTCTCATTTCCCATTCTTGAGGTAGTACAAATTTTAATCTAGTTTAAGGATCAATTTCTCCAGAAGAGATCACACTGCTTCTGTTCTTGCATTCTCCTGAATCATTTGGATCCATTGTCACAATCAATTAGAGCTATTATATATGCACAAAAGAAGCCTTCAACTACTAAATGTGATCAATCTATAGAATATAATAGATCTATTAACAGAATTTCGTTTATAGAATGTGATAGAAATAAACTACCTCAATAAAAAATATCCATGTTGCATCCAATGTCTATGGAAGGAAGCATTTGGAGCTTGAAACGTCTTAATACAAACAAATAAAATGCACATGAATCCACAAATCATATAGACATGAAACTTAAAAAGCATATTAGAATACCTTTGGTGAAGCTTAGAAAGCACAAAAGTTCCTTTATTACCTTTGATGATCCTTAGAATACCTTATGAATTCAGCTGGAATCTGACATCCTTGGTAAGATGCTACCTAGCACTGGTCTTATTCTTATATCAGCTGGACTGCTAGAGGCAACAACTAAGAAAATGAAATTGGCAATGCAATTTTTGCAACTATAAAATGTCACTGCGATAAAATCAAACATGAATTCTTTGTTAAAAGATCTTGTAGAGAGCTTACATTCAAGAAATGGTATAAAATTCAAAAGTTGTGTGTATTTTATATCATGCTGCGGCCAAGGCATGATAGGGACACAGTTCTGAGGTTGAAGGCAACCTTCCAAAGCAAGGGCACTTAAAGAAAGAGCTTTTGCTGGATTTCTACTTAGCTTTGAAAGGTCCTGCCAAGTAAGGTGAACAAAGGAGAATATCAAGTTATAGTAACATCTGAAATTCTACTAGAATCCTGTAATATAAAGAAAAAATAACAAGATTGAACTGAAAGCAACAAAAGATTAATGCATTAGTGAAGCAGTCAAAAACTTTTGGGTGACATAAAGTGCGTAGAGGAAGTTGTTACTTAAAAAATATGACATAGCAAATAGTAATGTTTATTTAGAAGATCCGTCATCTTTCCAGTACTGAAAAAACTACTTTGTGTAATTTACAGTTGAAGCCTTAATGTCCACACATAGGGAATCAAAGTCTTATTTAGATCTAGAACAAACATTAAGACATTTTGCTTCTGAGGTAAGAAGAGTAACCATCAAAATAACGGTATAAAATAGATTAATACAAAACAGATGTCAAGCAAAAGTCACAGAAGACAAAATATACACCTACCAGAATTTGTTCTTCAATTAGCCTTCTTGCAACCAAATAAGCTCTATTGCAACCAATTGGCTACATAGATCAACCAAAGCTTAGCTCTAAAAACAATCAAACATTTTAGCAAGCCATTTAGAAAAAGTCATTTTTATTTCATTTTTCCCAAAGTTTCATTGGGTCTTCCTCTACCCCTTTTAATCAAACTGTTTTTCATTTTATCATTTTTCTCAATTAAGTCTCTGTACACCTTTATCTCAATTCTCACTGAAGCCTCTACGGATCTTTTCACTGTAGCTTAAAATTGTCTTCCTTACCTCCACACACAAAAATTTGCAAGCATGCACATACCTCACACACTTGCAAAGTTTCAACTGGTTAGTTTCTCTATAAATGAAAAAATAGGGGCATATAATTGTTACAATTGGATATTTCCAACTATACCACATTCCAATGAGGTATCTGAAAGTTTTGATTAATTAATTATATCACAAAATTTGTGATGGAGCCAATACTTACATAGATGGCATTTCCTCCATGGAACCCCCGCATTTTGGTGTTCTTACAGAATTAAAGTAGATGAATTAATTGAAAAGAATATCATATTTATCCACAGACAGTGCCATTTCCCAGAATCACAAAATAAAAGTATAGAGTCAACCCAAATGACCAATTCACCCATCCAATTCAAGCAACAAACTACTTGAAACTTCAATAAGAGATCCCAAAGAACAAATTGATCAAACAGGGGACAAAGTAACACTGCATAAATGTTGTCATTCTAATCACGTCCAATGTTCAAAATCAAACAACAGAAAACGATATTCCTGGATTTATTTCATGAAAAAAACTTATCAAAACCCATATCATTTGGATTTTAATTACAAATAAAGAATTAGCAGAGAAGATTGATTATCATGGAAACTTCATGGTACTTAGCACTCACATCGAGGGCAGTAGCTCCATCCAAACTGTAGGCTGCAAAATAAGTTCTTAATGATTTGCAGAATAGAATCAGTACACTTTAAATCACAATTTTAAGTTAATTCCAAACTCGATTCAATAGCAACCTTAATCATAAAAAAATTAAAACAGATATCTTTAGTCAATTCCAAATCAGTTTGACTCAGTGACAATGTCAAACATATAAACAAATATTAGAGAGAAAAACAATTTTAATGATTTTGAAATCAATCCTAATCGTATAAAAATTAGTTGCTCTGATTTTTTTAAAATTATTTTTCATATATCTAATAACCAAATTAGTTCAAATCTATACACAAATAAAATACGTTAGCAACACAATTTTTATTAAGTAAAATGCATGTCCTATTATAGTATCATAGTTTAAATGCTTTTATAATTATGTATTTATTTAATTATTTTTGTCATATCATTATTATTGAATATCTTAGGTAGAAATAAATATGAATAATTTTGACATATAATGAAAAAAAAATATTTGGAAGGATTTATGAGAATAATTTATAATTGTTAAATTTTTTTTTAACATATTTAATATTTTCATGATCAAATTTATATTAATTTTTAATGAATATAACATTGGATTGTATAAGATAATAATATAGAGTTAATTTTTATGAAAAAATTATATAACTCAATGTTTATAATTTTCAATAAAAAAATTATCATGTATAATCTTTTATCATGTGTAAATGTTACACAAATTATCAAATAAATGCTTAATTAATTTGCTTATCCAAACTTAGCTGAATAAAACATAGCAAGAAGATTAATAGAAAAAGTCAGTTTGTGTATTTATGTATTTATTTTCTTGCTGCAGTTACAACATATGGTTAGGTATGGTGGAAAACTAACATGATGAGCCACACCAGTTGCCACGGTGTAAAGTATGGATTACATAGAATGCTGTTGATGGGAGCATAGGGTGAGTTAACAAATGACTTGCTGAGTTGCTATCTAATTTCAATATAATAATGATAAGACTAAAAGAAAAGAGTACAATAAACTTAATCATACTGTTATTATTTGTATTAGCTTACATCTCAAGGCTCTGGTGATAACAAAACCAACCACTGTTAGCAAAGTCACTTTGGATTTAGTCCTAAGCAAAATCTATTAGTAGATTTTTCACCTGCAGCATAGAAACTCTAGATCTCTGAAATAATTGGTCTGGTGGATACATAGTTTGACCTTTATGCCCACACAGGCCATTAATTTTTTACTTCTATTTTTTAGAGTGTGTATTAAAATATTTGTTATCATTCTTCATTTAATAAATATTTTATATACAGATTATTTAAAAAAGAGTGAATAAATTGATCTGTTTTACAACTAATGTGAGGTAGCATTGATTTAAGATGGTTCACTTCGTTTTTTCTCTTTCCTTCTCCAAGCCATAGACACAGAGGTTATGTCCTCAAACCCCACATGAATACCACTTTGACATGTCAAACTCAATTTGCCAATTTATGTGACAAATAGTAACTTGAAAACTGGCCATTTCCCATTCAAGTAGCTATCATCATTTATTTCAAAAGCCCTGAATAGAAGGTAAGTTTTGGGAGCTGGGATAACATCCAATTTGTGCCACCTGCTTCATAATAATTTGCCAACCATGGGTATTTTTGGAAATTTAAAAACACTACATGGATGTACCTATTAGTCCCTTGTACCTCAAGCATTATATATAAGGACACCTTCATTGCTTTAACACCAACATCCCCATTTCATAACCACCTCCATCCAGACCCTCTGCTTAGTTTCACTTCCATTCTAAAGCAAAATGGAACCTATGTATCAACTTAAATCCCACAAAATAGTAGCTTTGAGACAAAGCATGAAAGCTCAAAACTATCTAATTAAGCTTATCCAATTGTTAGTCTCATTCTCTGTGTTTTCTTTCTTCTTTTCTCCATCTTCCTTGGTTGCTTTCATTTATCACTTCAATTTCTACTTCTCCACATTCTCTCTGCAACTTTTTACCCACACCATAGACAAGAACTGCATGTTTCTCCTTTGCAATGGGCTTCTTGTTTTTGTTGGAATAACAAGATCTTTATCTGGGTCTAGTACTTTTGATGAATCTCCTAAGTATGTTGAAGATGCTTCACAATCTCTATACTCAGATGTTGAGGCTAACAAGCCAATATTGGAGAAAATTGATGAGCCTGCAGAACAGAATAGTGAAGCAGAACATGCAATAGAAATCAAGTACTTTGGTGAAGAAGGAGTAGAAAACATTGAAAACACAAACTTGGAAGGTGAAGAAGAAGTAAAAGGGTGTAGAGAATCAGTTTTGAAAGAAGAGGAGTCAGAGGGAAAATTTGAGCTATATGGTGCAGAAGATGAAGACAAGGAATCAGAAATTGATGAGCTTGTGATTGGAGAAAGCATAGAAGAGGAAGAAGTTGTAGAAGAACCAAACTGGGTGTTGAGTACTGAGGAATTGAACAAAAAATTTGATGACTTCATTAGAAGGATGAAGGAAGATTTACGGGTTGAAGCTCAAAGACAATTACTCATGGTTTGAGTTTCATCATAGACAATCATATATTCTTCTTATACCCTTTTTTTGGATTTTTTTTTTTTCTTAGGATTTTTAGTCCTAGTTTTTCCACTTCTTCTCTAGTATTCTAGTTGTACTCCATGCAATTTTGTATATTTAAATCCTGTAAAATGAGGAGTTCACTTTAAAGAGGAAGGATATAAACTAGTAATTGTTGATGAGAAAAATAGTTCAAAATTCTATAGAATACAAGCCTTCTAACACCAATATTTTGTCTATTTGGTTAAGTATTTATTCCCCGGAATTACCTGTTTAACTGAAAGAAAATTTAATTTCCTATTTAGAAAACTTCGTTTTAAATTATATTGAACCTTGAGATGCAATAAAGAAAATCTAACATATATTTTGTTATCCTTAAAGGATCAATATCTATATTGTAAATTATGTCTCTGTTTTCTCCCTTGTTCAAACTTGTAATTCGGGGACCGTAGAGAATGCTTTATATATGAAAGTTTTAATTCTCTTATTACTCAAATTGAGCACATTACCAGGCTTTGATTAATTTAGTATACACAATCTATAAACTTAGTTTGAACTTCTGTCACCGGCAATTACCATAGCTCTAAATGTATTAAAATTATAATGGGAAGAATTGCTTACAGGTATTTTTCACATGCACTAATGTCAATATTATAAATCGCATATTCACGCGGAACATTGTCATTTTGATGATGGAATCATTTATTGCTTTTTGGTACATTTGATCCTATTCATTGCATAATATTTAGAAAAGCTAACAAAATGGGTTAGCGGTGTAATGATAAAATATACAGTTTAGACTATAAATATTGATCATGAATTAAATTTGGAGCTTTTCAAGTTTTACTTTTTTTAATTACTTTTTTTTACTGAGTTAGAATTACATTTAGGTTTTTTCAGTCTGTTACTCATTATAGGCTAATCATAATGGATCAGGTAGCTCGTTTTGTTAGCTCTAATAATACTATTTTTAAATCTATTTATGAGAAACAAGTATTTAATTCATTAAAATCAATAAAAAGTAGTTGTATGTCATAAATTTATACACTATTTTAAAAATACCATAGTATTAAATGATTTAATTGGTGTGTTATGTATTAAATGAATGAATAAGGATATAAAAAGAACTTAATAATTAATGCATTTAAAAATGAGTTTTGTTTCTTATATTTAAGAACAAAAAATTTTGGTAGTTATTTTTTATAAATAAAACTGAAGGTAATGAGTTAATAATAATAATAACACTCGCTCACTCAAATAACATGTGTTAGCGGGAACTATTTTTCTTTTAACTCGTATAATGAAGAAATTATTTATTGATCTTGTTAATTTGTATTTTAAGAGGATTAGTTACAGATTTAATAAATAATTATTAAAACTTACATTAAAAATATACTATTATAGTTTTTAATAAAATTAATTTTAAATTTTCTAAGCAGTCCCATTGCCCTAATTTATATGATCATAATACCTAGAATTAGAAATAATTTGGAATAGAGGTTCTAGTTGATTCTTGCATAATTAATAAAAAAGCGATATTTTATTTGATCATCAGAAGAAAAAAAAAATGATAATTTGAATGTAAACAAGTGATTTAACAGCCCTCAACATGTAAGCAATGGGTCAATACTATGTTCAAAGATGGCATGTCAAAAAAAGAAAAAAAAACACTAATCAGTTATTGACACTGCAAATATTGCCACTTGCTTAATTATCAATACTTATCTCTTTGTCCAGCCTTCTAGTGATTTATAAAAGAACCTGATAAACTATGGTTGAACATTTCTATATATAGACTATAGTAGGAAGATTCTAGGTTTCCAAATAATAGTGCAAAATGATTTATGATTTTATAGCCAAATCCGGGATTAGTTATTGATGTTACTCGTAGCTAAGAAACACAATATAGATATAACTCCCATCAATTTGCACTAAGTGCAAATGTTGTACCTTCTTATTATTAATTTATTATGTTCTTATTGCAGGCCTATTGATCATTTTAGCCTAATTAATTTAGTGGTAATCAATCAAACTACTCTTTGGTAAAAGATAGGACTAGTTCCCAACTTAAATACAATAATATATATATCTTCAATTATGATTTATCTTACTATTATCACTCTCTTTTGTTATTTATTTTCAGTTTAACTCCTATCAAACATAAATTTAACTTATATAACTTCGTAGTTCATATTAGCTCGTATTCACTTAATGCATTGGAAATGCGAAATAGTAACAAACCTCATAAATGATAGTATAACTTGGAGTTTAATTTTGATGCAGAGATTATAAAGTACTTTTCATTATTTTCCTACTATTAATTGTAACACAACAGCAAAAGAGTTTAATTACTATGACAACAATTTGAAAGGTGAAACCCTATGATAGTATCACACCCTAAAGAGTATATCTATTTAGTTAATTAAATCAATAACTTTAATGCTTGAAACCCCTATATTAGGAAAAAAAATATACATAAAAATTTGTTCTTATTTCTGAATGCAACAAGAAGTGTGTCAATTACTTACAAGGTATATTACAGTTGGCCCACGAATTGATGAAAAGCTTTACACTTTTGTGATAGATATCGAAAGACTTTTCTTTTTCACTCCCTTAAATGAATTTTCATCACAAAGGTCCCATGGGCCCTTTCTATCAAAGGGTAGTCAATCTCGATATTTAATGAATTTGTTTGATTTTTCACCATATGTAACACATCGATTTTGGTCGGTGAGATCTGAAAGGACCTTTCAAACTGCATGTTTCTAAAGCCTGAAAAAGTTCTTTTGTTTAATTCAAGTTCAAATGTTTTAATGGTTAAGTTTTTATACAAGTTAATTATAAATATGATTTGATTACTTAAGGAAAAAACATTCTTACATAGATAAACATTAATTAAAATAATATGATTATTCATGAAATAGAGTGATGTGTGTTTCTTCATAAATAATAAAAAAGGTGTATATAGAGAGACGTAATTCATGAGCATCAAAACAACTCAATATACTTCTAGATTCATTTACCTTTACTTTTGAGAACATATATAAAACATAAAAATAAATTATAATTTGGTAAGTATCACTATTGTCTTGACTTAAATTTTACAAGGGCAAACCATACTCAAGCATTTTTCTTTAATTGCATCTTTAAGGAAAATTATCATTAATCACAGTTATTCCTAGGTTTTGGAATAGGCGGAAGTGAATTAAGCTTTTACAAAAAAAATGTTTGTACATGCCAAATAAAAGCATTGTATATAACTTTTTCTTTGTTTCTATCTCTTCTTCTGCTGCTGCTCTTTTTTCTTGCTTTTGGTCAACCTTCTGCTGCTCTTAAAGAACATTCCCACCATGACAAAGCTACAATACTAGACAACAATGAAGTCCAACTTAGGACATGTCTCTTTGGAAAAACAATAAATACCGAGCTAATAAAGGTTGAAACTCAATGACAGTGGCCCAAGCTTTTTGGAGTTAGCTGATATGATGAAAGTTTCCAAAGTAAAATCCTCCAGCATGTAGCAACTTATCCCTTTAAATGGATAAAAACAGATGAGGCGAAATAAAATAAAATACACTAGTTACATTATTAAATTATTTAAAATAAGATGAAACACAAGAATTAAATATGATAGAACTTGTTTCATGTCATTAATTACATCTAAAACTTCTGATTTACCTCCAATTTGGAGGTCTATACCAATCTAATTATTATTCATTAATCTCATTATCATTTCATACACTTTCTAAGTAGTTAAATGAAAACTTATAGAATTCCATAATAAAGTTCTAAATGATAAAATAATATTTTATTTCATTCCTTTATTTTCATTCTATTTTACTCCTCATTTTTTATCTAAACATAACTAATGTAAAGGGGAAAGAAAAAATCTTTTCTCCTTTTATTTTTGTTGTGTTTATGTGTTATACGAAACACTCATGCACAGGTACTAACTGAAGCAAATAATAATAATAATAATAAAAATAAAGCTAATTCGAGATGAAAAATAAGCAAAAAGCACATATTGCTACAAAGAAGTGGAAAGGTGTTAGGTGTGCATGCATACACACGAGTGCTTATATCATGTGGAAAGGATGTCTATTATATATGAATTATTGGATTGGCATGGCTTAGAAGAAATAAGTTTAAATGAGTAAACTAAGCACATGAACGTGAATATTGCAGTTCAATGCATTAATCACATTGATGAAGTGTGTCGATATACGATTGTCCATATTGCATCAATAATGCATTATATACTTAATAGTAAGGTGGGGTCAGTTAACTTAATAGTGTGTCCTTGCCCTTTGAAAATAGAGGCAGAGGATCTATTGTTGTGAAAATGATAAATAGAAGCTGCATACGTGCAACTAGCTTATAAGGAAGAGATTTTATATCAATAATGTACTTAAATCCAAACATGTGAGTAGAAACCTTCTACATATTGATGTCAACACATATAAGTAAGTATATGGATAGGCCCAAACCCCCAACTAAAATTTATTATATAATGCTAAATTAGATTATTTTTTTTTAATTTAAAATACATTTTAATGAAAAATAAATATTTTAATAAAAGCATGTAGTTCAAATTTATTTAAACATGTATCTTAATAACATTTAACAATTCAAAATTAATTTATTCAACTTTAAACTAAACGAAAAATCAACGGCTTCATATTATATATGGATTTTGATATTGATCTTAACTTTTATGATATGATCAGAACATTGCTAATAATTAAATACCACAACATCCAATGAGACCCAGACAAGTGACAAGGATTTTTGCTTTGTCTTGCCACTACCAAGTGTGGTCTAAGAACACAATGTACGTACTTTTAAGACCCACAAACCCTTTCTTCTTGGACTCTATTCCACAACTGTGATATTAATTTTTCAATAAATATCTACCTGATTTTTTTAATGTATCATGATCTATCTGTTCAAAGAAACTAACCATACAGTGAAATGGAAACATTCAG